ATGGAAAAAGCAAAAAAAAAAATGGTTTCTTAGTTAAAAGGTTAAAAAAGAATAAAAAAATAAATAAAAATTTGCAGTAGTGAAGGTCCTTCGGTTCTTTTACTCTTCAGTCTGGATCACCTTAGTCCCGCCAGGTATTCAGGAGAGTGTTGAATTTCCCTGCGATTCACTGTTCCTCCCTGTTGTAAACCACAGTCCTGATTTTAACACAGGCTATATTTGTGTCCCAGACTGCCTTAATTTGTATTTACCTAAGAGTCAGTTTGTGACTCAGCCTCTGGGTGGCAGTGTTTCTGGATTGGCCTCTGAAGCTATATGGCCTCCCTATCCAGTAGCTAGGGTTTATTTTCTCTATTGCACTTAAAACTGGTTTGAGGAAGTCCACTGCCCAGAGCTGGTTCTTTAATTGTTACCCTGCTCTGTCTCAAATGATGATGACAGTTATAAAAAGTCTTGTTAATTCATTAGGACACATTTCCCAAGCCCCTATGCCGAACAATGCTTTATTTAATCCAACTTCCTGTTGGAATTTAAAAACATTGTGGACAGAAGCACCTGTGATTGTCTGCAAAAAATCTGTAATTCATACTCTTCATCCAACTGCACAACCCAGTTAGAAATCCCCCAAGGGGTCCCAGATGGAAGAGGGTGCAGGCCGGGCTGAGGGACACCCCTGTGCATGAATTTTTAAGTCTGAATGTTGCATAATATTCCATCTGGTGGAATGGTTCCTGCTTATTTAAGCAATCCTACCACCAGAGCTACCTTAGCAATAATGGGACTCTGCCTCCAGATCTGCTGCTGTTCATATTCTGGCTCATCCACAATCTACAAGTAGGACAATGGTTGTGTAGCTCAACCTTATGATTCCTGGTTTTCACGCCTGTAGATATAAAAAGTGTGGGCAATTCAGGAATTCTTCACAAAGGTATGTGGTGCAGTGAGCACTTCACAAAGAACTTGGGATGATGCCTGACCTACAGAGTCTCACTAAATAGTTGCTCTTATATTTTGGAATTTTATATTATCCCAGTGTTTTTACATAGATAATGCTGTGATATGCACATTAATAAATTATTTCCTTAGTAATAGAATTTCAGTGAAAAGTAACATGTATATTTTAGCTTGTACTTTACTAATTGAAAAAGATAAACTATTGAAAATTGTCTAATATTTACATTTCTGGGGACATATTATTTTTTTACTTTTTACTACAGAAAAATATCATTTGTACACTCTGGTAGAGAGAAGAATTTTACAATGCCAAGCACCTATTATTTATCTTCAGTAGTTATAAATTCATGGCCATTTTTATTTAATCTAAATGCTCACACCCACGTATCTTCCTTTATTATTTTGAAGCAAATGCCAGGTAACTTATCACTTTATCTGAAATATTTCAACATGTATTGTTAAATAATAAGGACTCATAAAAGCACATATCCACAGGATCATTATTATAAAAATTTTAAGAACAAATTTCTAATATCATGCCAATTTTTAAATTTATTTTTAGTGTGTTTGATGATTTCCTGAAATAATTACAACCTAATTGATTTTTAGGTAAGCACTAGCTAACTCATTACCCAGGGTTGGTCTTCGTGTTTGTTCTAATTTATTCTATCACAGTTATAAAGACCAGCTATTATTTATTGAGCTCCAACTATGTGCTATGACTTTATATGATTACTTCTGCTCTTTCTACCACCACAAGACTGAATTCATCCCTGTTTATATGTGATTGAACTGAGGTTAAGTGGGATCCTGTGAATGCTGGAGAACGGTACAGCCAGTTTCCAAGTCAGTCAGACCTCATGTTTGACTCAGGGACACACACCTTCTGCAGTACCACCCTGTATCCTGGCTCCTTCTCTTAGTTCATTCCACACGTCAAGGTCTAACCAACAGTGAACTCCTCTTTCAGATTTTCCTAGGCTACTCTTGCCCATGGAGACATCCAATCTGGAAATTATTTTCGGTCACTCACACATCATATACTAGGCTATCTTCCATCAGTGTTATTTTTTAATGTGTATCCCATATGCTCAGAATATAATCAGCATAGTTCCTTCTACCTTGTAGGTGCTCTAAAAGTGCGTTAATATTGACATTGTGGTCCTGCAGTAGCACCATGGTCACTGATGAACGTCTTCACAGTTAAGATGTTTCTTTTATTTATCCCAATGGTTTTGTATATTAAGGCCAATCAATCAGAGAGTTTAAACTCTTAGATTATAAAATACAATCAACTGATAGTATAGAATCCAGATGGTTTCTATTGTGTTTTTCTTTGTGTTGAAATTGACAATTGAATAAACAATAAAAATAGTAGGAATAGGGGAGGAGGGAGGAAAGAGAGTTGGTAGAACATTTCTAGTTAAAAAAATACTTTTCATTTAATTTCTTAAGTATCAAGAAAAAATGTACTATGTATGCCCATATTTAATATCCTATATAATAAAAGCCTAATATGCTAAGTGTCTGGTCTGCTGGTGGGCCTTACAACCAATCAAAGGATAATATGCTAATGATATGCTAAGGCTGCTCAGCCTCTCGCTATGACATGCACTGGCCACCAGGGGGCAGGTTCTTTGACCAGTAGGTTAGCTTGCTGCTGGGACTTGGCTGATTGGGGACTGAGTGAGACGGCCAAACATGCCCTGCAGCCCTTCATTAGTCCCTCCCTGGCCTGAATCTTGCACCAATGGGGTCCCTCAGCCGGGCCTGTGCCCTCTTGCAATCTAGCACCCCTCAGGGGATGTCTGAGAGCTGGTTCTGGCAAGATTCTGCAGGCCAGGCTGAGGGACCCCACTAGTGCACAAGTTTGTGCACCGGGCCTCCAGTGCTACATAACAGAATGCTCTAAATTATACTTACACTTGCACACACACACACAAACCAAACATCAAATAAAAACCATTTATCTGTTAACTAGGAGACAGTAGCTCAAAAGGCAGGCAAAATGTCCCCAAGGAAGTTAGTTCACTCAAGGAAAGTGCTTGAATCAAACTAATAATTAACCCACATCATCACAGTCACAAGTCTCTACTGCACATCATTGTAATTAGAAAGACTTGCTTGTAAATGTGAACACTTTCTCTGAACTTTTAGCAAAAATAAAAGAGTATTTCCAATCTGCTAACAATATACATAAATATGCAGCCTTATTTTTTTGTTGTCACAGTTGCAGGTTGTTATAGAGTTTTCACAAAAGTAGAACACATTAGCAATCAAATTAGAAACCAAAAGCCAGGTTTGATTATGTTTTAGGTGCCATTAATTCAATGAGATAATTTCATGGGGAACTAGAAACATTGCATATGTCAGTTGGAAAGAGAAATTATGTCAATACAGCTTCTTGCTTACTATTTTTATGACAGAGGCTTGCTGCAAGACCTAAGCTATGCTGTTCTAAGAGGGAACCTTTGCTGTACAGAGACAAAGTTGAAAGGGAATTTCAGAGTGGCCTTGATTAAGAGAAGAGCATATCTCAGCATTTAGATAAACATATAGTCAATAAGCAGATGTTTTAAATGAAGAAAATTGGAATGGGTTCTGGTTAAATTGTCTTCTGCTATGGGAGCCTATGAGTTCAAACCGTGATGGGCGACTATCTTAAGTGCTTTGCACACATCATTTACTCCTCCACAAAGAAGTGTTGAGGTAGGATTCATGCTTCCCGTTGGCCCAAGGAGAAGACAGTCTTCACAGTGTTCACCTGCTTCCCTGGGACTGCACAGCTAGCATGGAACTGAGCAAGGCTTCCCGCCCAGTGCTGAAGCCCATTCCCACGCTGGCCCCACTAACCTGGCAGTGGGACAAGGGCGTTGTGCATTAAGGTCTGGGGCTGGC